TAGGGATGTAAAAGCCCATTGAACCAGCTAATTGGTTCGATATCATGTTTAACTAGTTAACCACTTAAACAGGGGCAGGTGAGGGGGTTGGTTTCACTTTCACCAGTTAACTGTAGCTGGTAAGCATCACCCAGTAAAGGTGATACTATCGGTATCATTCAAATCTGTCCAAGGGAGGCAGCAGTACCACCAAGAGATCAACCAACAGAGATGGGGCTCTACCATCTTGTCCGCCAGCAAAACAGTAAATAGCCCCCTTGCCTCATATTCATCTCCTGCCCAAACCTTTGGCCACTGCACCAGTCAAGGATGATTCCCCACTCTGGAATGATAAATGCAGAAGTGGGGGCCTGCAAAAGAACCCCAAAACCTTCTCTCTCCAGGCTTTGGTATAAAACTTCCCCCCCAAAATCCTAAAAACCTAGATTTTGGGGCTCGAAACCCACTGCCACCACCCAAGTAATTGTAAGAAAAACCAGGGAAGAGATCACTTGGGAATCCCAGCAATAAATTAAAACCAGGACACAAAAATTAACCAATACCAGTTTAATAAAAAAAGAAAGAATTTTTATTATCACCATAATACTCCTGTTACAAGCATAATAACTAGAAGGAAAAATCACTAATAAATATACTCATGAGGGACTCCCATGGGCCAAAAACTTAGTTACAAAGGAAAGGAAACCCCATTTTTAAATGTACAGACATCAGATTCCCATTCCCAAACCATAAAACAATAAAAGCTAATGGATTTATCTAAACTTTACCCTATTTACAGATGGTGAAGAGTCTTTTCTTGGAGACATGTTGTCTGTCTCCCTCAATATCTGGAGAGTCAACTGGCTAGGGACAAAGAAGGGAAAAACCAAAAATTCCTTTGTCTCAGTTTGAAATCCCTATCTGCATTTCTATTGGCTGACTGCTGCCTGGCTAGGTACAGTTAACCCCTTAATCTCCAGGCTGCTGCCCAACCCTCATGGTCATGACAGCACCACTGAGGTGGGGGGAGAGAACAGGTCCCAGGCTCTCTGAGGGGAGAAAGAACCAGCCCTGGACTGGCTGGGGGAGAAAGAATAGGCTCTGGGACTCAGGATGTGAGTGGGAGGTAGGGTGCAGGGTCTGGAAGGTAGTTCAGCAGCAGGAAAGGGTGTGGGGTAGGCGTATGAGAAGGAGTCTGGGGGAGGGAAGGGTTGGGGGAGTAATGCAGAAAATGTCAAAGGGTGAGAATGCAGCCAAAAGCTGGCTGGGGAGGGAGGCAAAGAAGTGCAGAGTAAAAGGAAGTGCAGCTTCTGCAAAGTAAAATTGTATCCCTCTCACATCTTCCTTCTGCTCCAGCCTCACTCCCTTCAGCCCCATGATCGCCCCAGTCCAATCCCCTATATTGCCCCATGCCCCTCAGTGCAACCCCTGCCCCCTCCCATACAGCTCCTTCATCCTCCTTCACGCCCCCCCTCCTGCTCACACATCCCTATGCCCACAGCACACTCACTGGCAGGACAGCAGCACTGGGACTCACAGCTTCTGAGAGCAGCACTGGGGCAAGAAGGGTGAGGGGGCAAAGTCTTGTTGCCTGACCCAGTGCTTTGCCTGCAAGCAGCACCTCTGGGGCGGGGCAGAGAGAGCCAGGCCAGGTGCGATGGAGAGCTGGGGAAGGGGCTCCCTGAACTCTCAGAGCCAGGCCAGGTGCAGCAGGGCATTGGGAAGATGACTCTTCAACCCAGCACACAGCCAGCAGGGAATAGCACAGGGTAGCCCCAGTGCACGATATATGCCAGCTATCCAGTGACCTCCCAGGGCAGGAGGCAAGAGTGAGGATGCACATGTGTATTTGCACACGTGCCTCTTCCCTCCTCCCAGCCAATAAGTTAACAAAGAGGGGCAGTTACCCGGATGGCTGCCAATGCAACCCCATGGGCTGCAGCTTTTGGGATAAACAGGGGGTAGCCACCCGGGCTGAAACAGGAGTAGCCACTCAGGCTGAAAGCCCATCGAGGCTGTGCCACTTTCCAGCAGGGCTGGAACAAAGAGGGGCAGCCACCTGGCTGCCAGTGATTGACCCCTAGGGGATTCGCAATTGACTGGTTGGTGACCACTGTTTTAAAGGCATCAAATAAATGGAAAAGAAAATATTTATTCCCTATTCTTTCATTTATAATTGAGGTTGTTAGAAATTTGATTTTAATTGGACTCTGCATGATCAGCTCCTTTAAGGTAATAATTTGATCCAAAAAGTTATTGACTGATGATGAGGCTCATGGATCACCTCTGAACTATACTTAGTTCGAGTACTAAGCCAAAAAGAGATTGGTCAATCTTCACTGAAATAATGTTGACACCTGTTCAGTAGTTTAAAACGTTAAAGGTAAACAATGTGACTACATCTACACGGCATGGTTTTGCGCAAATACTTTTAACACAAGAGTTCTTGCGTTAAAGTATTTGCACAAGAGAGTATCTACACTGGCATGTGCCTTTGCTCAAGAGATTTGCTTTTGCGCAAAAGCATCCGTGCCAGTGTAGACGCTCTCTTGCGCAAGAAAGCTCCGATGGCCATTTTAGCCATAGGGCTTTCTTGTGCAAGACAGCTTATCCCTGAGCGGGAACGACAAAGTATTTGTGAAAGAAGCACTGATTTCCTACATTAGAACGTCAGTGTTCTTGCACAAGTACTCATGGCTAGTGTAGATAAGTGGCAAGATTTTGAGCAAAAGCAAGTGCTATTGCGCAAAATCTTGCCAATGTAGACACAGCCTGTGAGTCAGTCAATGGATGATGAACCACTTCACACACAATTATGTTTCAACTTGTAGTAAATTGAGGGCCTTTAACATAAAATCAGCAGTTCTGAAATCTAATGAACAAGACTTTGGCTCAGTGAAACTGCAAGCAGAAAAGAAGCTTGGCTAAAGAGAAATAGTATAAGCCAGGTCAAGCATAAAGTATGCCAAGAGATACCAGACACAGGTACCAGACACAGGCTGAAAGCACATTCCAGAGGGCACATTAACAGAACGCCTCACTGAGAAACATCTTGGTACCAATCACCTCCCTGCAAATAACGTACATACCAACCTAGATTTAGGACCAGGTCGAAGTTCACAGCATGATGGATAGTAAGTAACCGCCACTTCTGTGAGGTAAGGGACAATAAACAGGTAACAGAGGGTGGCAACCTGATATCAGAAGTGATGTGTAACTTGTTTAAACCTGTATGTAAAAGTGCACCCCAAAGGGTGATCATTGGTTGACTGTGGGAGGGGACACTGGAAATCCAGGACACCTACTGGGTGTCAGTCTATTGCCTTGGCTTACATAAGGTGCAGTGGTGCATCAGCAAGTTTGTTCACTGACAACTATTAAGCTGCATCTAGACTGGCATGATTTTGCGGAAATACTTTTAACGGAAAAATTTTTCCGTTAAAAGTATTTCCGCAAAATCATGCCAGTCTAGATGCAGCTTAATAGTTGTCAGTGAACAAACTTGCTGATGCACCACTGCACCTTATGTAAGCCAAGGCAATAGACTGACACCCAGTAGTGCAAATAACGTACATACCAACCTAGATTTAGGACCAGGTCGAAGTTCACAGCATGATGGATAGTAAGTAACCGCCACTTCTGTGAGGTAAGGGACAATAAACAGGTAACAGAGGGTGGCAACCTGATATCAGAAGTGATGTGTAACTTGTTTAAACCTGTATGTAAAAGTGCACCCCAAAGGGTGATCATTGGTTGACTGTGGGAGGGGACACTGGAAATCCAGGACACCTACTGGGTGTCAGTCTATTGCCTTGGCTTACATAAGGTGCAGTGGTGCATCAGCAAGTTTGTTCACTGACAACTATTAAGCTGCATCTAGACTGGCATGATTTTGCGGAAATACTTTTAACGGAAAAATTTTTCCGTTAAAAGTATTTCCGCAAAATCATGCCAGTCTAGATGCAGCTTAATAGTTGTCAGTGAACAAACTTGCTGATGCACCACTGCACCTTATGTAAGCCAAGGCAATAGACTGACACCCAGTAGGTGTCCTGGATTTCCAGTGTCCCCTCCCACAGTCAACCAATGATCACCCTTTGGGGTGCACTTTTACATACAGGTTTAAACAAGTTACACATCACTTCTGATATCAGGTTGCCACCCTCTGTTACCTGTTTATTGTCCCTTACCTCACAGAAGTGGCGGTTACTTACTATCCATCATGCTGTGAACTTCGACCTGGTCCTAAATGTCACTTGGCAATAAACCTGCCTGAGTGATTTTGATCTTTATATGATTTGTGGTCTCTGGGGGCTCTGTAGGGAGTCTGTCATTTTAACTAATGGGCTGTGTCTAGACTGGCCAGTTTTTCCGGAAAATCAGCTGCTTTTCTGGAAAAACTTGCCAGCTGTCTACACTGGCCACATGAATTTCTGCAAAAGCACTAACTTCCTATTGTAATAAATCAGTGCTTTTTGCAGAAATACTATGCTGCTCCCATTCGGGCAAAAGTCCCAATCGGGGCTTTTTTGCGCAAAAGCACATCTAGATTGGCCACGGACGCTTTTCCGCAAAAAGTGCTTTTGTGGAAAAGCGTCCATTCCAATCTAGACGCTCTTTTCCGAAAATGCTTTTAACAAAAAACTTTTCCGTTAAAAGGATTTCCGAAAAATCACACCAGTCTAGACGTAGCTATGGAGTATGGTTAACGCACTAGATGGGGAGCAAATGCATGCATGCACACAGCCAAAAGTTTATCATCACTGACGGAGTAGAGGACCTATCAGGAACCATCAGGATGACCCTGAATCCTGACTGATGATACAGATCATTATACTATCATTTACTTAGGTATTATTATACTCTTTTACTCTAAGACCACAGAATGGTAGTTCAAAACAATAACAATGCCAATAAAAACCTGCAGGGTGCAATGTTTATAGAATTTACACTTCCTTTCTGTGAAGGCTGCTGCTTCTTTGTACACATACTCAAATATGTCACAAAATATCAAAACGTACCATCACACAGGTTTTATCCATCACCAAAAGTATCAATAAACTTCCACTAAAATATCAGATCAACTCTGAAAAACATAAGTGCAGAAAACAATCCAAAGAACAAATCAACGGTGGAACTTACAAAGATTTCAGTAACTGTGGGTCAGGTGAAAGTAAAATGACTATTCTACACTGTTATTCTTCTGAAGGGCAATGTTTCTTTCTGTAAAGCCTCCTAAACATTAGTTATTTGCTTTCACTTTGCATGATGTGAAACTGAGTGTCACTAAAATACAGCAACAGTGAGACCTTGTGCCACAAGTTAATGAGATACACAAATAATCACCCCCTACCTCCAAGGCACAAAGAGAAAATAAACAACACAATCCCAGAGCAATACCGCCTATGATTGTGTTCAAACATAATTTAAGTAGGTAGTTATATGCCCAGAAAGTGTAAAGCCACATCTATAGTTACACAGACGTTCAAATTAAGATATGCAGCTCCAGCTACGGTAATTGCATAGCTGGAGTCAATGTACCTTAATTCGAACTTTAGCACCAGATAAAGGCATCAGATAGAGGCAGCAAGAGAAGGGTACTTCAAAGAGGCAGTGCTGCACAGCTGATTCCAAGCTCTGTGCAGCACCACCCCTTAAGAGGCCGTGCCACATGCAGCCGTGATCAGCTGTGCGACATTGCCCCTTTGAAATGCCACAGCAGTGTTTCAAAGCAGCAGCATTGATTGGAGTCCGGGGTCAGCTGATCCAGCTGATCCCAGGCTCCAATCAACACTGCTGCTTGGAAATACTGCACAGAGACTGGGGTCAGCAGGAGCTCTTGAGCATTTCAAAGAGGAAGCACAGCATGGAGCCTGCTGGAACTCTTGTACATTTCAAAGGTGAAAAGGACTAGTCGAGTAGTCAACTAGTAAATTATTTGCTAGTTAATATCCCTACTCCACAGCAGGAGGGCAACAGGAGCAAATGCTCCTGTCTACTTCCCTTACTCCTCACAATTTGAGGAGTGCTGACATTTGAGGGGCACCCTCAGGCTACGTCTAGACTGGCATGATTTTACGCAAATGCTTTTAACGGAAAAGTTTTCCGTTAAAAGCATTTGTGGAAAAGAGCATCTAGATTGGCCCATACACTTTTCCACAATAGCACTTTTTGCGGAAAAGCATCCTGCCAATCTAGACGCGTTTTCCCACAAAAAAGCCCTGATCACCATTTTCACGATCGGGGCTTTTTTGCGCAAAACAAATCTGAACTGTCTACACTGGCCCTTTTGCACAAAAGCTTTGCACAAAAGGACTTTTGCCCAAATGGGAGCAGTATAGTATTTCCGCAAGAAGCACTAATTTCAGACAGTAGGAAGTCAGTGTTCTTGCGGAAATTCAAGCAGCCAGTGTAGACAGCTGGCAAGTTTTTACTACCAGCACTGATCACACTGCCCCTCTCGGTTTGATTTAGCGTGTCTTTACTAGACCCACTAAATCAAACACCAGAATACTGACTGTTGCAGTGCTGATCTCTGCATAAATACATGGCCTAAGATGTTCATTCAATAATCTTAGTAATGTCAACCCTAAGTATTCAAAAGTTATGTCAGCCCCAAAAAGTCACACTAGGTTAAATATGGCGAGGAGTCCTGTGGCACCTTATAGACTAACTGAAGTGTAGAAACATAAGCTTTCATGGGCAAAGACCCACTTCATCGGATGCATGTGACGGTTAAATATGGGATTTAAAAATAGATACTTTTATTTTCTTTCTGGTGC